TTATTCTATTTTGCTTTCATGACACACTGTTGTTTTCATCTATGATTTATTTGATGCTACATCCCCAGTCTGGAACAGAACTCTCAATTATTGTAACAGTTTCCATGGAAACATATGATCTATTCTCTCTCATTCCCCCACTGTTCCCCAATGGTCCATTCTCCTTCTACTCCACTCCCTACTCCCCACCCCATTCCTTTCCATAAGGCCCTCCAGAACTTCCATCCCTCCATCAAAAATTCTCCAATCTATCTTGTTAAGTGAGCAAAAACATGTGCATCGTATGCTAACTTTCGCACTAACAAGGACAAGAGTAAAACTGTCACATTGGCACTGAGAGACTGGAAAGATGCGAATGGAATGGACAGAGGTGTTCACATGTGGAGGGCAGAAGAGGTGACGTTGGGTGGGGGAAAAACTTTTCAATGTTTATTCTTTCAATACAATTTTAATGAGAGCCATGTGAATGTACTGCTTGTTAAAAATATAATTTAATTTTTTAAAACTCCCCAACAGCCTCAGCTTATTAGGAACTTTTCGTTCAGGCCACTTTCTTCCCTGTCACCAGGGAAACTGCTCCATCTCTGAAATCTAAATCTCTCTATTCTTCCTAACATTTTAAAGATCTTGACCTTGCCCATTTGTTTTTCATCCCTAGACTTCTAGATTCCTTCTTTCCCACCCCAGTGGCGATCCTCTTCCTGCTGGACTTCTCTCCCAATCTAGCCTGGACACCTTTTCCACCTTTTCATTCATTTGTTGAACACACTTTTACTGAGCACCTGCTATTGGCCAGGCTCTGTGGCTCTGCAGTGGGCATCTCTCTTCCCAGAATCTTTCACTCCCTTGTTTCTGTAATCTTCTGGTTCACTGATTCTGCTCATCCACACCCTTAGCTCAAATCTACCACCTGCTTCTCCATTCCCACACTCAGACCGCTCAGAGTTGCTGGTAAAAATCATACAATGGTGTGGAACACTACCAACTGCCTGCTCTCTAACCTTACGAACCTCAGGATTGCTTGTCAATCTTACTGGATGTCCTTACTCTCTATCCCCCCACTCCATGCTGAGACTCTTCACTTTGGGCTGTCACCTGAGACCCCTTATTCCATCTCAGCAGATGACCCTGCCCCCATAGACAGAGAAAACCCATGCATTCAATCTAGGCATTGAATGAATTCAATCTATAAGCACTGGAAATATAGCAGTGGCCACAATATAGAAGATCTCTACTCTATTGGGGCCTAGATCTTAGAAAGGGAAGAGAGACAAACCAATAAAGAAATAGGAATAGTATTACCCAGTGACAGGTGCCATGAGAGAATTAAACACAATAGAGAATGAATGAGTGGCTACTTTGAGTGGGGGATCAAGGAAGACCACTCAGAGGAGGTAAAGACTAAGCTGAGATGTGAATTACAAGAAGGAGCCAGCCATGCAAAGACCAAAAGCTTTGTGGAAGGAGTTTTGTGTGATTCATAACTCAAGAGCCACTATTGTGGCCAGAGCATGGTGGGTGATGAGAGAAGGAAAGGAAGAAAAGAAGTCAAGCAGAGAACAAGAGCCAGATTGTAAAAGGTAATGTTAGCCAAGGACATAGCACAGAATTTATTCTAATTGCAATGGGAAGTCATTGCAGGGTTTTAAGCAGGGAAGTATCTTCATCTAATGTACAAATGATTATGGATGCTAAATAGAAAGCATGTTGATTACATGTAACAAGATTGGGTGTGGGAAACCAGCTAGGAGCTTCTGCAGTGCCCAGGTGATGTATATGGTTTAGACTGGGGTTGCATTAGTGAAGATGGAGCAAAGTTAATGACTTCATAAAATGCTTTGAAGGAGCTGTCAGGATTCACCAATGGATTGTACCAGGTGGAGGGGGGGAGGGAAGGCGGGGATGAAGGAAAGAGGGGAACTCAAGGATAACTCCCAGAGTTTTGGTTTAAGCTTCAGAGATGGGAAGAAATTTATATTTTCTGCACACCTGAGTTCATGATATGAGATTTATACTAGACATCTTTGTAGCACACAAAGGGATTCAAAGACTCAAAACAACACTAAACAAGTCAGGAATACTTATAACACAATCTCAACTTCAGTAAAATAGCATCTCACGATATCTATAAAGGCATCCAGAATCACTCTACGAGTCCCAGGGTCATCCTTCAACTATGCTGCTGTTAGAAATGAACTGTTTCCATTCCTGGCTGCTAGAGTGATCTTCTCCGAAAGGCAAATCTGATCATGTCACTTCTCTGTCTAAAAACCTTCAATGGCTCCCCACTGCACTGGGAATAAAATCCAAACTTCCCATTGCAGCTCACAAGGCTTTTTATGATCAGACCCGTGCTTACCTCTGAGACCTCACATCCTATTTCCTCCTCCTGCTTGTGGTATTTTCACCCCAACACCTTCTGACGGCACCTAGAATGATGCACCAAGCCCCTCCCCACCTCAGGACCTTTGCACTTGCTGTCTCTCCGCTGGGAGCACTCCTTCTCAGCTCTTTGAGTGCATGGCTGGTTCATTCTCATCCTTCAGATCTCAGCTCATCTGTCACCTCCTTAGTCTGAGTGGGTCTCTTGTTGATGTGTTTGTGACACAGCACTCTATTCCTTTCCTGCACGGTATCATCACAACCTGCAATGTGGATCTACTGACTCCCTCCCCCACTAGAAGGTAAGCCCCTTATGAACAGCAAGTGCGCCTGCCTTGTTAGCTGCTCCTTCTGGAGTAGGTGCAGCCACCAAGCCATACTGTACCTTGCCAAAGCTGCCTTTCCCCAGCACCATCAGGAAGTTAAAATCGGTCAGTTTCATCCGGTCCCTGTTGCCATTGTTGTCAAATTTGGATATGGTGTTAGTCATTTTTTCTTCTGGAGCTTTTGTCCCCTGACCAATCTTGGCCCTCTGGAGGAGAAAACACAAAGAAAACACAATTAGGGGTTGAGGATGCCTTTGCAGGAAGACCCACATACACATGGGCCTGTGGTTCCTGCGGCTTAGGCACTCCACCTACGTGAAACACATGACCACGTATTTGTTCTGCGAGCCCAAAACCTGGAGGCCATACTTGGTACCTCTTCCACCTCTCTTTTATCCTTCATGTCTCATCCATCACCATAAATTGTCACTTTTCCCCTCTTAGCTGTCTCTAGAATCCATCTACTTCTTTCCATCTCCCCTAACACCACCTGCCATCATCTCACCTGGACGACCCACATTGGTTCCCTCCACATGCAGCCAGAGTGAGTTTCTCACTCAACCAAGTCACCTCCCACTTAAAAATGCTTCAGTAGCTCCCCATTATTTTTAGGATAAAGACCAAGGTCCTTTCACTGGCCTAGATGATCTGGCACTACCTGGCTCTCCAGCCTCATCACTTCCAGGGTCCTTCTTCCCTGCACCCCAGCTCCATTCTCCCTTCTAAATGAACTGTTCTAAACCTCAGCCCCCTTTCCAAGAAAATGGAGATAATGACATGAGATCATGTATCATTGAATTCTTAGCAACATTCTTGGCACATAGTAGGTGCTCAATGAATGGAGGCTACTGCTGTCGTTGCATTATTCAGTTGGCTTTTGAAGGCAAAGAGGCAATGAAAACTTTTTCAGTGTTGAATATCAGGGAAGATTCATTCATTCCAGAAATACTTATGGAATGACTGCTAAATGCCAGATGCTGCTCTAGGCACTGAGGATACATCAGGGAGCCAGACAGATACAGATGTTCAGAGAACATGCATTCTAGCAGGGATCAGGACCCCCCACACTGTGTCCAAAAGACATGCTGAAGTTATCCAGGGTGAAGAAATTGGTGTTGGCAGCAGGAACAGCACTTATGGAACAGAGAGCAAGACATTCGAGGAACTAAACACCAGTCCATCTGGCTGAAGCATAAAGTGCAGGGCAGACAAGGCACGAGATACAACCAAAAGGTTAGAAGGACCTTGCAAACCATGTAGAGAAGTCTGGGCTGATTCTGAGCCTAATGGGCAGCTTCTGAAAGGTTTTAAGCAAGGCCACGGTGTGATCATGTTCCATTTAGAAGAGTGATCTTCCATTTAGAAGATCACTCCAGGTAGAGTGAAGGGACCCATCTGAAGGATACGAGTTTGCAGACCATGAGGAAGTGACTGCAGTTATCAAGATGAAAATGATAGGGCCTGAAGTCGGTGTCTGCAGTGGAGATGGGACAAAGTAGGCCAGTTGGGAGACAGACTTATCACAGCTGGGTGGCGAATTGGGTGAGGGAGAAAGGAGATCAGAGATGAAAGAGCCGCTGGGAGGGTGGTGGTTCTTTGCACTGAGATGAGAAGTGGAGGAGAAGCAAGTTGGAAGTCTGGGCAAAAGGGTTGGAAGAGATGCTAGTCTGCTTTCAGCCTTGCAGAGACCCCCTCCCCCAGTGGCTAGAACAGCAGGTTTATTTCTTCCTCATGGGGTCCATGTTCTACCGATATTCATTGCAATTCCATTGACTGTGGCTAATGAAGCATCTACCGTCTGTATCTTTGCATAACTAATGTTTTAAAAATTGAAATGGACAGAGTGGAATGCACAAATCTTGACAAATGTATACAACCATATAACCCATACCCCAAACAAGACACAGAACATCTCCATCACCCTCAGAAAGTTCCCAGTCAATCCCCCCTTCCACAAAGACAATCTCTGGCCAGTTTTGTCTGCTCTTGAATTTCACCTGAATGGGAACAGAGTCTGCACTCTTTCATGTCTGGCTGCTTTCACTCATCAGAATGTTCTTGAAATTCATCCATGTTGTTGCATGAATCGGTAATTTGCTCCTCTGCATTGCTGAGTAGCATGCACTGTTTATGTTTATCCGTTTTCCTGTTTATAGGCATTTGTGCCGTTGCCACTTTGGAGCTACTAACAAAGCTGCATGAATGTACTCAGCCAGGTTATTTTGTAGTAAGATATGCTGAGGTTTAAGTGCCCCGGGGACGACCAAGCGTAACTACCATGTACCTTGTACATGTGGGTTTGGGGTTAAGATATCTGAACAGAAGACAGAGATTTGGAGGTTATAGGCAAAGAGGGGGCAAACAATGAGATCATCATATTTGTAAACATGCAAATAAAAAGAGCCTAGGACAGAAGTTGCTTTGCCTTTCTTGGGCCGTGTTCTGGAACCATCCCAGATCCCCACTCTCCAGCCCCCCGAGTTTTGTCCAGGCTGATCTGACCCAAACTCATTCCCTTATACTACCCTCGACCCTACCAACTCATGGCTCTGTTACTATGTCTCCCACTTTTTTGAATCCTGACTCAGGACCCATCGGATTCCCATGCTTTGCTCTCCAACCTGTGAAGCTCACGTCCTGACCCCCAGCTCCCCTTGGGGTGGTTACCTTTGCTCAGCCTTCCACCTGCAGGGCCCAGCACACCCTCCCAGAGAGGCATTGAGGGTGAAGCGCAAACTTCCAACTTCTTTATTTGACTTTTCTTAGAGGAACTGGAGATAAGGCACTTTTTTGTTTTGTTTTCTGGGGTGTTTTTTTCTGTCCTTCAAGGAGCAGGTGAAGCGCAAACTTCCAACTTCTTTATTTGACTTTTCTTAGAGGAACTGGAGATAAGGCACATTTTTTGTTTTGTTTTCTGGGGTGTTTTTTTCTGTCCTTCAAGGAGCAGCAAGTGGCTGATAGCCTCAGCCCTGCCAGCTCCCTCCTCTCCTCCTAATTCAGGGATGGTATTCTCTTTCCTCACCACATCCCAGTTTGCTTTTGTGACTTTCCTCCCGGCCATGTTATCTCAATTTCTAGAATCTAGATCAGAAGTCTAATAACCCTTTTGGTCTGGTCTGCATAGTGCTTGCTGTTATTTTAATATTTAAATCAGTTGCCAACTGTTGAAAATCAAGAGATGTCTTCTAAAAACCAGATTCTCAGATTCTTTTGAAGAAATGGATCTACCAACCCCTTCCTGTCATCTGCCTGGCTCCTGTAAACATTTGGGTTTGTGACCCCCTCCACAGTGAGCCTTTCGAGGACAAGACCCCTGTCGTGGGTCCATCTAAATATCCTGGTGTCCCAGGTAGCCTCATGCCTGGCAGGCACTCCATCAAGGAGTGAATATTTTAAAATGGAGGCCCAAATTAAAATTTTCCTTTATCTTGCTGGGTAGACTATGCTTTGAGAAATGGGAATACACTCATGGCTGCCTTTTTGTGTCTGCAGTTCAGAGCCCAAGGTCTCACTGCTCGAAGAGAAAGCCCTAGGTAGCACTTCTAGCAAAGAGCTGCACCACCTTCCAGACTGAACGAGGGGACAGTGGAGGCATCTCGGCAGCCAGGTTCCATTTCAGATGATAATGTCCTGCCTTAAACTGCAGACTGCCACCCACCCCTACAAGGAACTACCACCGAATCTCCCAGCTTTCCTGCAGTCAAGGCAAAGACCTCTGTAGAGTAGGAGTCCCTGTAGATCCTCCCTATCCTCCCACCCCCAGCAGCCCTTCCAAAGCCCAAAAGGAGCGTGTTCTCAGCTTTCTTTGTTCCAAGGGGGGATCTGATAATGATAACAACAGAAGCAATACTAGAACCTCACATCTGAATACTTATGAGGTACTGGACACCGCTCTAAATGCATTACCTCATTCAATCCTCATATAACCTTATGAGGTAAGAAGTGTTACCATCCCCCATTTCACAGACAGCAAAATCAAAAGCTCAGAAAGATGAAGTAAATTGCCTACAGTCACTTAGCAAGAAAGTGTCAGAACTGGGATTCAAATCCAGGCAATCTGTGTGCTTGACCGCAAGGCCATACTGCACAGATGCGGCCGCTGGTGTCCTGCCAAGACCCCTTGGCATGCTTCTCTGCACACCTGGGGCTGCTTACTGCAAACACCTGTGACTCTGCCTGGGGGCTCATTTCCTGGGTGCAGGAGCAAGGCAGCTTCCTCTGGAAACAGCCTGCAACCAGCAACAGAACGGGAGCTGGTGGACAACACCGCAGCATCCTGGCCCTCGACTGGAAACTCTGAGGTGGTCTCTGCTGACTCCCAGAGTTCTCCAGCAGAATTAAGCCCCAGGTACCCACAGCGGTCACATGCTTGATGATACTTCCTGGCTTCCCGTCTCTTTCCCTGCCTCTCTTCCCCACTACCCTCTGATGCTTCCGGGATCACTTCCCAAATAAACTACTTGCACTTGAATCCTTATAGTCTGTTTGTGGGGAAACTTAAATCCAGGACAATGATCAGCTCTGGGACCCTTACTTAACCTCTCTGGGACTCAGTTTTCTCATCCATAAAAGAAAAATGGGAATGATAATAGCACCCACCATTCAGGTTGAATGAGGATCAAATTAAATGAGTTAATATTTGTAAGGCACTTAGGACAATGAACGGCACATAGTAAGCACTTTGCTAAACAAATTCTAAGACTGTCAGAAAACCCATCTGAACCATCCTCCCCTGGCTTATTGGCAAGCTCGCAGTCAGACTGAAAGCCCCTCAAACAGAGCCAACTCTGACGTTTCTGAAATATACCACGTAAGCTAACTGCACCAAGCTCATCCTACCATGAAATTCTATTACCCCAATTCCAGCAGCTTGATTTGACCGTCACTCAAAATTCCTCCAGATAAGAGGCTTGAAAGTAATTTCTGAGTCATTCCGGGTGCTAATTGGTTATTGCACAGGATTACATTTCTTACGTTCAAGGTCAACTGAAATTCCTCTGTGTGCCTGAGAACAATTTTCAGTCTGTTGGAAACATTTTTTTAATCAACAACTACAGTATGGAGCGATTATAATTCAGACATAAACAAGAGTTTGCAGGCTCTTGCTAGAAATAAAGGGACACATTTTGTTGCATGCAGATAAAACAGTCCTTTACTTCCAGCCAATTACTGGCCCAGACAAATGCTCTGATCATGTAGGGAATGTTTTCCTTGGTGTTCTGAAATGTTACCCCGGCTGCCCCAGGACAGAAGAAAAACTGAGACTTGGTTTTATACAAGAAAATTCTGGCCTTGTTTTCTCACCTACAATAGTACATTTTTAACACAGCTGCAAACGGACACCACTTCATCAGAGGGGTGGGGAAAGAGATGGAAAGCGTTCTCTGGAAAGACTGCCTTCCCATCCTAATTTTTATCAAAGCATCCAGACCTACAATAGTACATTTTTAACACAGCTGCAAACGGACACCACTTCATCAGAGGGGTGGGGAAAGAGATGGAAAGCGTTCTCTGGAAAGACTGCCTTCCCATCCTAATTTTTATCAAAGCATCCAGTTCTCAGCTCTACTTGGAGGGAAAGTCCTTATCAATTCACTTGGGCGTGAGGGCCCTCACTTATCAAGGTCACTGGAGAATGACTGATAAGCTCAAGGACAACATGCCTATTTTGCTGGTTTCCAGGAAGGGAGACCACAGTGGGTCAGAACCATCACCATCATCCAGGCTGTGTGGACAATACAGGCTCAGACAGTGGACCTGGGAATACCCAAGGGCTATGAGTCAAGTTGAGGGGGAAACTAACATGACTCTTGGGATAAACTCCAAAATCCTTACCAAGGCCAGCACAGCCCTGCTACTCTGACCCCACCCACTTCCCCAGCCTCACCTTGGACCCACCCTTGGCTCTCTCTGCTCAGCTCACACTGGTCTCCTTCAGTCTCACGCAGTTGCTGTATAACTCCCCACCACAAGGCCTCTGCACGAGCCATTCTCCCTGCATGGAATATTCTTTCCTCCTCTCTACTTCGTTAACTTCCACTGCTGTTTCCTTTTCTGTCCTCTCAGACAAGGTTACCTTTCCCTCTTAAATCTTCTCAAAGTGCCTGATCTCTCTTTCACAGAACTTTACATGGTCATAATTTTAAAAATTTTCTTGTGATTATTTGATAAATAACAATAACAATAACCCACTTCATTCTAGCTATTCTATTTTATACATCTTTCAGGGATAGTAGGTCATCACTGCTTATCTAAAATTGGTGATTTCTTGGGGCCGGCCCGGTGGCACACTGGATAGTGCGCCGCTTGGGAAGCACGGTGGCGCTCCCGCC